GCCTCATTTATCCTAGCAGTTAGAGCTTCCATTTTTGATTGCACCTCATTAATAGCCTTTTTGATTTCGACTTGGTTAGATTTTAGTTCTTTTACTTCTCCAGAAAGGGTTTCTCTAATATCTTCCATGCTTTTTTCAAGCCCATCTTGTGTATTTATAATCATCATTCTGAACTCTAGTTCTGAGATCTTACTAATGCCCATATTGATTAGGTCCCTGGCAGTCGGTACTGGCTCTTGTTCTTTTTTTTGAGGTGATTTTTTTCATCTTGTCATTTTGTCCAGAGGAGAATAGATGAATGAGAGAACAAAATGCTAACAGGGTAGCAATGATCCCAGAAAAATATACACTAAACAAATCAGAAAAGACCTGAAACTGGGAGGAAAGAAAGGGAAAGAATGAAAAAAGAAAAAGATAAAAAAAAAAGAATATGATATTAGATTCCTTTATATCTTCTAATGGCTTAATGGCTCACTTCTTAAATCCCTGAATAAAATATTCCTTTATATGTATTTATTGCATTGTGTTTATCATTTCACTTATTAAAAGACATCTTGTTTCCTTCCAGTTTTTGGTAATTACAAATAAAGCTGCTATAAATGTACATGATTTTGTGTGGATATGTTTTCAACTCATTTGGGTGACTGCCAAGAGGATAAATGCTGTATCATATGTTAAGAGTAAGAAGTTGCCAAACTGTCTCTGCAGTGGCTGTACCATTTAGCATTCCCATCTTCATGAATGAGAGTTTCTGTTGCTCTACATCTTCACAGCATTTTGTGTTACCATTGTTTTGCACCTCCAGTACAAAGCTGAAAAGGACTGGCAAGTTACAGTCTTGCCTTGTTCCTGATCTCACTGGGAAAGCAGTTAGTTTCTCACCACTGAGGTGTTAGCTATAGGTTTTTTTCTAGATGTTCTTTCTCATGTTAAGGAAATTCCCTTCTAGACCTCCTTTCCTAAATTTCATCACAAATGGTGTTGGATTTGTCAAATTCTTTTTCTGCATCTATTGATATGATCAAACAATTTTTCTAGTTAGCCTATTGATGAAATAGGTTACATTAACTGATTTTAAAATGATGAACTAGCCATACATATCTAAATAAATTCTGGGTATAGATATCAACAAGGGGATTTTAACTATTATAAAAAAAATTCTAGAGCTGAAAAGAACAATAAATGAATTCAAAACTTTAAGGGATTTATTTAAAATCAGATTTCATCAGGCAAAAGAAAGAATCAGACATGAAGACTGATCATTTGAAATCATCCAGTGAGAAAAATAAAAAGAAAAAAAGAATGAAGAATATATAAAAAAAAAAAAAACCCTACTGACATCAACAAGCAGATCAATATATGTATTATTCCTATAATGAGTCTGAGAAAGAGAAGAGAGAAAGAAAGTTTATTTGGAGAAATAATGAGTACAAACTTCAGAAATCTGAGTAAACATACAAAAGAAGCTCAACAAATTCCAACCAAGAAATCCAAAGTGACTCACAAAAATTCCCATTAGCCAAAGACAAGGAGAGAATCCTGAAAGCAGCTAGACAGAAGTGACTTGTCACATATAAGGGAGCTCCCGTAGGATTATCAGTACATTTCTCAGGAGAAACCTTATAGGTCAGAAGGGATTGGGTTGAATACTTTTCAAGTGCTGAAAGAAACTGTCATCCAAAATTATCATTATCAGGCAAAACTGTATTTCAAAATATAATGAAGACATGAACACTTTTTCAGAAAAATAAAATTTGAGGTAATGAGCAAAAGTTAATTACCACTAGACTTGATCTATAATAAATGTTAAATGGAGGCTGTCATGGTGAAAAGAAAGGATGCTAGATAGCAACCTAAAGCTAAAAGGAAATTATAAAGTTCTCTAATACAGGTAAATACATGGACAAATATAGTAACATGCAGTATTGTAATTTTGGTGAATAAATTAACTTTTAAATATTGTATAGAATTGGAAGGACAAATACCAAACCAAACAAAACAAAACAAGTCCTATAATTTATGTAGTAACATAAAGTGTGGAGTAGAATTATAAAGGAGTAGTGCTTTTGTATGTGATTGAAGTTAAGCTGTTAATAGAAATAGAAGAAATAACCCCCAAATTAATATGGAGTCTCAAGGGACCCTAAATAACCATGTCAATTTCGAAAAAGAAGAATATAGTTGAAGGATATACATTTCCTGATTTCAAAACATATTATAAAGCAAAATAATCAAAACAGTATGGTACTGGCATAAAGATAGACATATATCACTGAAATAGATTAAAGAGCCTAGAAATAAACCCTTGCATATATGGTTAAATGATCTATAAAAGGGTGCCAAGATGACATAATGCGGAAAGGACAGTCTCTTAAACAAGTATACTCAATGGAGAAAAGAGCTTTTTCAATAAATGGTGATGGGAACATTGGATATGCACATACAGAAGAATGAAGTTGGACCTGTATATTTCACCATATACAAAAATTAATTCAAAATGACTTAAAAATCCAAATGTAAGACCTCAAACTATAAATCTCCTAAGAGAAAACATAGGGGGAAATCTTCATGATGTTAGGTTTGACAATGATTTCTTAGATATGATGCCAAAAGTACAGGCAACAAAAGCAAAAATGGACAAACAGGACTACACCAAACGTAAAACTTTTGTGCTTCAAAGGACATGATCAACAGAGTATAAAGGCAACCTACAAAATGAGGGAAAAAATTTGCAAATCATATATCTGGTAACAGATTAACATCCAAAATATAAAGAACTCCTAAAATCCAAGAATAAAAAAATCAAATTCATATAAACCAATTTAAAAATGGGCTAAAGACTTGAATAGACATTTCTCCAGAGAGGATATACAAAAGACTAAAAAGCATATGGAAAAATCCTCAATATTACTAATAATCATAGAAATGCAAATCAAAACCATATTGAGATATCACCACATACCCAATAGAATGGCTACCATAAAAAAAAAAAAAGGCAACCACAGAAAATAACATCTGTTGGTGAGGATATGATGACTATAATGTGAACTGCTGATGGGATTATAAAATTACACAACCACTCTCAAAATCAGTATGATGGTTCAAAATATTAAAGATAGGATTACCATATGATCCATCAAACCCACTTTTGCATTTTTATCAAAAATGACTGAAATCTGTATCATAAAGATATATCTGCAATTCCACATTCACTGCGCATTATTTATGATAGTAAGGTGTTGAAAACAGCTTAAGTGTTCATTGACAGAAGAATGGAAAAATAAAATGTCACCTATATATACACACATAGAATGGAATGTTATTCAGCCATAAAAAGAATGAAATCCTGCTATTTGCAATGACACGGATGAACCTAAATGGTACTATATTAAGAGAAATAAGCCAGACATATGAAGACAAATATTGTATGATCACCATTATATGTAGAATCAAAAATGTCAAACTCACAGAAGCAGACAGTAGAATGGTGGATGCCAGGGGCTAGAGGGTTTGGAAAATGGGGCCATGTTGGTGAAAAGGTACAAAGCTACAGATACGCAAGATGAAGAGTTCTGGAGATCTGTCACACAGCAATGGAACACACGTAACATTACCATAAGATCGTAAATTTCATGTTCTGTGTATTTTACCACAAAAAAACTTTTAAAAATTGTAATGTTTTGAGTTTCAAAATCCAAATAAAAAATATTTTATAAAAATGTGTCAAAACAGCATGGTAAATATACTATATGTACTTTGGCTCCTTGAAGTGGATATTAACTTTCAAAACATGATATAATTACTGAATAGATGGGAGTAAAATGCATACCAGAGCAATTCCTGCAGCGAATTTTGGATTGCATGCCATTCCATGATATGTTGCTCCCACGTAATTAGGATGATCCCTATAACTAAATAACAAAATTTTTCTTGTAAATAAATGCATTTTAAATTATTAATAACTTAATGACCTTTTAAGAATTGGATTCCTCAGTAAAGAAAGCTGTTTTTGAAACTTGAATATTACATATCATATCTAATGTTTTCAATCATTTTGTATTTGGGTAATATCCCACAGTTCCTACAAAGTTAAGTTCTAAAGTCTACTTTAACATTATATGATACACAGCCCAAAACCCAGCAGTGCCTAATCCTTCCAAAACATTAATCATCACTGTTGCCACCACTAGATGGATATAATTCTAATGTGTACAAGTCAGGATAACCTACTGCCATGATTTGCATGCAGTGGTCCTTTAAGGTGTGTAAAAAATATCGGATTGGAGGACAGGGAGAGAAAAGAGAACATGCAGTATGCTAACGAAAAGAGATAGGACACAGAAAGTGTCCTCACACATTTCAGTCCTATTAATATTGCTCCTAAGTCCCCAAATCTGACCTTAAATGCCACAGGAAACACCAATAGATGTATAAATGTATTCCATATTGCTTAAGACCTTCAGAATTGCGTTTTTATTTTTCCATGTAATCAAATTAGTCAAGCAAAAAGAAGGCTTTTGAAAGATACAATACATGCAGTTATATAGCTACACCTTGGGTCCGTATATATCAGAAGGTAACCATATTACTATTTAAATGTTTTGCATTATAATCACTTTATATGCAATTACTGCATTCTGTTAACTAATTTATATTTTATTTAATGTTAAAATGATGGTTTCAATTACTTACCTCTGAGAAAATCTTTAAAACCCTTGAGTTCCCATGTTTCTCCCGAGGCTTTCCAAATTTTCAAGTCTATTACATTTCCATGGATAAACAGTCTACTCTGTTTTAGTGTTTTAGTGTCTTACATTGTTATCAGATTTTTATATTTTGCATTTTGCTAACAGTATACGTACAATTTTTGAGGTTTCTTGTCATTATACATAACACATTTTGTATATAATTTTGATAGTTAACATATCATATAATTTGATAAGCCCTATATCAATGCAAAAAATGCACTCACATTAATAAATATGCCATATCATGAGATCTTTGAAACATAAATTGTTCTTTCCATGACACAAATCTTTGTAGTACTTCATCAGCATCCCCCTTAGTTGAAATCTTATTTTGATCTGACCAGAGCTCCAAAGAAGTCAGCTTCACAGTCACTTTAAGCTGGGAAAACATCTAAAAATAGAAGATACACCACATACAGGTTTAGGTAGTCATAAGTATTATATTACATCTCTATACATAATGCAATAGATTCAATTTACTCATTTTTGGAGATGGAATCCATTGGTGGGTGAAACTAGTTGGTAGGACTATACTTTTTAATAAAATCGAAAATGTTATTTATACAACTGTTATTTATACAAGCATTAATAGGAATGTTTAATATTTAACTGAAACATAAATACTTACAATGTTGATAAGACCAAAGATATGGACAACTTTCTCAGCTGCAAATGCCACTTCAGAGCCCATGTAATCAAACTGAAAGACAAATTTTGTTTCACTACTGAAAATTACTAAAGTACCACATTTTATTTTTTTAATTATTTATTTTTAATTTTATTTTATTATGTTATGTTAATCACCATACATTACATCATTAGTTTTTTAAATTTTTTTATTGTTATGTTAATCACCATACATTACACTATTAGTTTTTGATGTAGTGTTCCATGATTCATTGTTTGCGTATAACACCCAGTGCTCCATGCAGAACGTGCCCTCTTTAATACCCATCACCAGGCTAACCCATCCTCCCACCCCCTCCCCTCTAGAACAGTGTTCCATGATTCATTGTTTGCGTATAACACCCAGTGCTCCATTCAATATGTGCCCTCTTTAAAGTACCACATTTTAAATGGATATAAAATGTTAAACTAAGGTGGTGCTCAGTGAAAGGAAATAAAAAAACAGAATTAAGGTTTATCAATTGCTTAGTAAGTCTTAAGCTTAAACCTAGGGAGCTTACATATTAATCAATAATATTAAAATGAGAAGGTTGTGATTATTTTCCTCTTTACACATATAAAATGGAGGTTTGAAAGGTAAGTTTCCAAGATCATATAACTACTAAAGATAAGAACCAGGACTCAAATCTCTAAGCTACTAAGTCATTTTTATCTGCTATATCATATGCCACCATTTATCTTCATTACAATAAGATAACATGACTACATATCCTGGATAAACAATGTACCATAATAATAAAAATAAATTCAAGCAATTGTCTTCATTCAAGGAGACAAAAATCACATATTTTCTCTTAAATACTTCAGTTGTATGTGTACACACATTTCTAAGTTTTTGGTGAAAACATGAAAAGTGGCAGCTTGAGAGCTTCAAAAATCTGCAGCAGGTCTGCCAAAAACTACTCACAGAAAAAAAATGTAATGGATAGAGTTGTCTGATACAGACAAAAAAGATGTTATCCTCCTAGGTCTCTAGAAACTATTTGTACTTTGCTATTTCTCTTTTCCAATAAATCATATTGTATATTTACGCACAGTGCAGCATGTGTGGTATGAGTGAAGGTGAATAAAGGCTTATATAAAACAATGAAAGAATGTGTATATATATATATATTTTCAAACATACATGGAAGTTTTATATAAATTGACCCATATTAGGCCATTAAAGAGTTATTTGAATATAAAGCATTGTCACTTAGATCACACTATCCAACTATAATGCAATTAAGTTATGGTAGACTTGATAAAAAGTATTTTAACAATGTTATTTTTCCTTACATGGATAACTCTATTGTGGTTATATAAGATAATGATCTTATTCTAGGTAAACGTACACTGAAAATTTACAACTTACTTTCAAATAGAGCACAAGTGATAATGGGATACTATATTAATAAATCCGAATAAAGAGAGTATAACTATTTCTTGCCTTATTCTTATTTTTTTATTATGTTATGTTAATCACCATACATTACATCATTAGTTTTTGCTGTAGTGTTCCGTGATTCATTGTTTGCATATAACACCCAGTGCTCCATGCAGAACCTGCCCTCTTTAATACCCATCACCAGGCTAACCCATCCCCCCACACCCTCCCCTCTAGAACCCTCAGTTTGTTTTGCAGAGTCCATAGTCTCTCATGGTTCATCTCCCTCTCTGATTCCACCCCCCTTCATTCTTCCCCTCCTGCTATCTTCTTCTTTTTTTTTTTTTAACATATAATGTATTATTTGTTTCAGAGGTACAGATCTGTGATTCAACAGTCTTACACAATTCACAGCACTCACCATAGCAAAATTCTTGCAAATTTTTTGAAAGTTTGAAAATATTTCCAAATAAAATATTTAAAAAGTGAAGATGAAATAAAAATGATTTTAGATGAGCAAAAGCTGAAGCAAAGTCATCAACAAGCTAAACAGAAATATCAGAAACAGACTTATAAGAAGGAAAGAAGAGCTTTGAAAATGGTAAACATGAGGGGAAAATTAAATTCTTTTTTCTTTTCCTTAATTTCTTCAAACAATTGAATATTTAAAAAATAATTTATTTTGTGGTTTATAACACATGGCAAAGTAAAATATAATAACATCACATACTGAACACTACATCTGAAACTAATGATGTACTATATGTTGGCTAATTGAATTTATATAAAAAAATTAAAAGCTGGATTTGAGACCACAGGGTGCCGAGAAATTACAAAAGAGTTTATGGCCCTTAGGTCTTGTATAAATTGATAAATTTGGTTTTAAAAAAATCACATAGGGTTATTTTTACAATTATTTTCATTAATTTTTTATTTGAGTGTAGTTGACACAAAACGTTACATCAGTTTCAGGTGTACAGCATAGTAATTCCAAAAGTATAAACATTACCCTATGCTCACCACAAGTGTAGCTCCTATTTTTCACCATACAAAGCTATTACAATATCATTGGCTCTATTTCTAATGTTATGCTGTGCCTTTTATTCCCATAACATTCATTCCATAACAGGAAGACTGTATCTCCCACTCCCTTTCACCCATTTTACCTAATCCCCAACTCCCTCCACTTTGGCAGCCATCAGTTTTTTCTCTATGTTTATGTGTCTAACTCTGCTTCTTGTTTATTTATTTATTTTTTAGATTCCACATATGAGTAAAATCATATGGTACTTGTTTTTCTCAGTCTGACTTACATCATTTAACACAATAGCCTCTAGACCCATCCATGTTGTCACAAATAGCATGACCTCATTCTATTTTATGGCTCTGTAATGGAACCACAAAGATCCCAAATAGCCAAAGCAATGTTGATCAAGAAGAACAAAGGGGAGGTAACACAATTCCATATCTCAAGATATATTACAAAGCTGTAGTAATCAAAACAATATGGTATTGGCACAAAAGTAGACACAAAGATCAATGGAACAGAATAGAAAGCCCAGAAATAAACCCACAATTATATAGTCAGTTAATCTATGACAAAGGAGGCAAGCATATATGATGGGGAAAAGACAATCTCTTCCATAAATGATGTTGCAAAAACTGGACAGCTACAAGAAAAGAATGAAACTGGACCACTTTCTAACATCATACACAAACTAAACTCAAAATGTAAAGATGTAAATGTGAGATATGAAACCATAAAAATCCTAGAAGAGAGCACAGGCAGTAATTCTCTGACATCCACCATAGCAACATTTTTCTAGATATTTCTTCTAAGGCAAGGGAAACAAAAGCAAAAATAAACTATTGGAACTACATCAAATGAAAAGCTTTTGAAAAAAAAAAGGTTTTGCATGGTGAAAGAAATCATCAACAAAACAAAAAAGAAACCTACTGAACAAGAGAAGATATCTGCAAATGCTGTATCTGTTAAGGAGTTAATATCCATATCAGGGTTAAATGGAACTTTAGTGTTATAAAGCTCTTACATTATATGTGAAGTGATATAATATTAATTCTAGTTAGGAATGTTAATTCAAACCAATAAAGAAACCACTGGGGTAAGATGTGAGGGATAAAGAGAGATCACAGAAAAAACCAATATAGGAGATAAAGATAAAAACTAAAAATAACCCACTAATCCAAGGGTAGCAAAGGAGGAACAAAAGAATAAATAACTAATAGGAAGAGTAGAACACTAAGAGCATAGCAGTACTTAACCTACATCCACAGTATTAGTAATTTTGATAAACATAAGTCAACTAAACATTCTAATGAAAGGGCAGGGATTATCTGAGTAAGGAAAAAAATAGTTTACAAAGTCATACTTTAAAATTTAAGACAGATAAACTGAACATAAAAAAGAGAGAGAATACTAATCATAGGATATAAAAGCTCTAGAGTTCTTTGTTGTTGTTTTCTCATGATGACATTTGCATTGAAAATGCCTTCTGTTTTTATTGGAAAGGAAGAAGGTATTCAGTTAAATGGAGAGAGGAAAGTAGGCTGTCTAGATTTAATTTTAGCAACCTCATGGGGGCAGCTGTGGCAGAGCATAATTTCAATGCTTGTGAGTATTATTCCCCATGTAACAACCAAAACCTAAATCTAAATGCCCCCAAAGGCCATTAGCTAGTAAAATAGATTAAATTATATTAAATACATTAATCAGACACTATGTGAATGTTAAAATTAAATTGAAATAATATATTTCATTAATATGCGGGAAAACATAAAATAATTTACAAAACAGCATATATAAAACAAAGGTATAAGAACATACACATACATATTCAAATATAAAAAAGGAAACGTGCATATAAAATTATACGTGCTTTTTTCTTTATTATTATTTTGTCTACTTTTTCCTGCTGTTTTTATAAAAAATTATGTAAAGATCTAAATATTTCCTTTTATCAACAAAATCTAATTTTGAAAATTATGCACTTATTGACAGACCTTATGCAAAAATATCAGTAATAATGAAAAGATCAGATTTCTTAATTGCTAACCATAATGGCTTTGCTAAAACTGATTATATAAACAAAAATTTCCCTAACTGGGGCACCTGGGTGGTTCATTGGTCAAGTGTCTGCCTTCAGCTCAGGTCATGATCCCGGAGTCCCAGGATGGAGCCTCGCATTGGGCTCCCTGACCAACAGGGAGTCTGCTTCTCCCTCTGCCCTCACCCAGTTCATGCTCTTTCTCTCAAATAAATAAATAAAATCTTCAAAAAATATATTCCCTAACTAAATGAACATTCCTATGAATAATTCTTTCCATTTTTAAAATATAAAATTTCCGTCAGAGAATCTAAGAGAATCCAAGAAATTATAAAGCATAAAATAATCTTATAAAAGATACTTTTTAATAACAGGAATCTCCAATTCAATAATTAAATAGCTTATTTTAAAATAAAAATTAATTTATGTAAGAGTTTCATCACTATATGGGGCGGATCCAGAAATATATGCAGCTCATTATAATTGACTAGATTATAATGTAGTAGAACTCTTCCATACATACAAATTGTACATTTTTGCTAGAATTCTATATTGATTTTGAAATCAATACTATAAATACTAGTCCCCCCAATGCCAATGCAAAGGCAATTCACATTTCTTTATGTCCTGCTACACCTAGATACATATTTTGAACAGAATAAAATATATATGTATTTCAGACAAGTGGAATTTTCATTTTCATATTCCCTTTGAATTTAAACACAAAGCAAAGATATTATCAATATCAATAATGCATACCAAAGCTTTATCCATAATGATTTGTATTTTCAGAATTGTTTCCAATAGTTCATCTGAATCTTTCTGTAAAACAGAGGACATGAATTAAATAAAACATTTAAATAAAACATAAAAATAAAACATTCTATAAGAAAAATTCTTATATTGTTTGTTATTCTCACTCACATTATACACACACACACACACACACACACACACATAGAAAGGGATAGACAGACAGATGATGATAGACAGATAGATAGATGATAGGATAGTTTGCTACGGATACATAACGATACAGATATAAGTGACAGCAAAATAAGATGATGGAGGACCCTGAAAAAATAAGCAGGTGAGATTCCAAATAAAAATTTTAGGAACAAATCAAAACTTTTATCTTATATTCTTTATAATTAGAATCCTTAAAAAAGTTAGTGAAATGAGGGAAAAGCCATGTTTCCTTTTCTCAAAACTTTCCTCTTAGACCCTCCTCCAACCTTCAAGCTAAATTAACTCTCATCATCTTTCCCCCAAATTGCCTTTAATTTCTCATTTATACTTTATTTATGTTAACTCTATCACAGTTATATAAATTGATATTAATGTATATACCAATGTAACCATTTCTATAAATAAGATAAAGAATGTTTCCATCACCCTCTTCTAAGTCGAGAGCCCACATGACTCAAGGCAATCAATGATCTGCTCTCTCTCACCATAGGTTAGAATAATCTATTCTAGAATTTCATAAAACTGGAATCATATGTCACATACTCTTATATCTGGCTTCTTTCACTCAGCATTCATCTGTTATGTTGTGATTCTTAATAATGCATTAGTGTTTATTGCTAAGTAGTGTGTCATTTTAGAAATATATCCCAATTTGTTTATACGTTTACCTGTTGATGATCACTTGGATTACTTAGAAATTGTAGCTATTATAAATGAAACTATGCATATTCATGTAGAGGTCTTTGTGCAATTATGTTCTTCAATTTCTCTTGGAAAATCCTTAAAAATGGAATACCTGAGTCATATGGTAATTGTGGGTGTGTAAAGTAGGACAAAAATGCCAGATTTCTTTTTTTTTATTATGTTATGTTAATCACCATACATTACATCATTAGTTTTTGATGTAGTGTTCCATGATTCATTGTTTGCATATAACACCCAGTGCTCCAT